GGTAATTCCAGATTGAAGAGAATGGCTAAGTGGTCAGAGAGGCCTAGATCAAGGGGGGAGCAGTGGGAGACAAAGGAGTCATTTGCAATAATTAGATCTAATTTGCAATAATTAGATTTTTTCTTCTTTTTAAAGTAATAGACAAAAGTAATAGACAAACAATTATACAGATCTTTCATCACATATCCAAATTATAAATAATACTAACTGGGTTTCAGTCAGGTAGTCAAGAAGTAAATTATTTAGCAAGTAATCCTAAGGGAAACTAATTAAACTGTCCTAAAATACTCTGTGACCTGACCTGATACATTGTGCACTTTTTCACATTTGAAAGGTGTTGCTCTGTTACAAGTATACAGAAAATGAGGGTAATTACATTTTTGGAGTAAATGGGTTTGAGAATTCCCCCTGAACATTTTACAGCTGTGTTTCAATAACAGCATCAATAGCAACAGGCATGAGATACAAACACCAAGCAGAGGTCATGTCTGTAGGGAAAGCTGGGAGCTAATGAAACATATGACTCTGCATTACACAACATATAATTTACACATAGCAGCAGTGAAACAAAATATATATCACAGACACAAAATATAGAACAGAAAATTAGCATGGTTGCAGTCAATGCAAGTGCCACTTGCACCTTAAGCAAAGATATCCCTTTGCTTTCAGAAATAATACATTCAGTCAGATTTGATTCCTTTAGCCATTAAGCTCTGAACAGCTGCCAAACACATCAGTCACATTGGGCCAAATTTGGCACTACTCTTCTGTCTCATATTTAAATCAACCAAAGGCTATTAATAAGACCACAATGCTTTACTTCACCTGCATGTCAATCCAGGTACTGTACATGCATAAACTACATACATGCTAATCAATAAGACGTGCTTAATATATGCTAGTTAATTTTCTATACAAAAAAGGTTCCAATAGTTTTCAATTATTCACGTTAAATCTACTTTATTAAGTAAATAATAATTATTCCCCTTCTTACATATAAAATACGAATGGATATTCTAAAAATTAATATTCAGTTTTTGATTCATATTTACTAGTTGTATAATTACTAGTTGTATAATTCATAGTTGTATGCTGGCTGTCTACTTGCCAATGAAGCAAATAAAAGTGTCTGAGATATTACAATAAATGATAATAATAATAAATGATGAACAATACAGAAAATATCTGAGGTTTGCAAAAAGTGAAAAGGGGAGTGTACCACTTTTGCAGATAGGGCAGCACTGGTCAGGCTCATACTCAGGGTCGACGCACTCAGTCTGTGGACAGGCAGACACTGTGCACAGCACTTCACCACTGGACTCACAGCGACACTTCTCACAGGCAGACACCTGCAACAGAGGGCATAATATACACTGGGCAGTGTGGGCTGTAAAAGTAATCATTATCATAATACAAATACCTGAGTATCCCCAGTTCTCAACATGGAGCCTCTGGAAGGATTAAGAAACTCATTGGTAGATGACATTTGTTCTATTTAATTGGACATACTGTAGCTGTAAAGTCAGAGGTGATTCAATGGATGATGTCCAGTGTATGGATCAAGTAGTATATGAGCAGATATGCAAGAAGAAGAAACTGTCCTTCTATCACCGTACAATATTTCCAGAACAGCAAAGATATTAAAAATATTAATTGCAGCACCTCTAACATATATGTGGTAATATCTGTACTAAATCAATACAAACAAGAGTGTTTATCACATTTATCTAATTAATAGTACCATTTAGTACCTCATTTCACTGGACTTTTGTGATGTATTCGTTTTCTTAGTCATGCTTTACATTTACAGGCACCAAAACGATTATCCGTCAAAGGTCTTCTGACCCTGTCATTCTTACATCACACAAACAAAATGTAAGAGCAGGACCAAAAAAGAAGGCGTGTGTGTGCTGTGCAACCTAAACAGTAAAGCAGGCACCATCCTTAGAGATTTTTTACAGTTTGATTCACATTAAAGACTACAGTAACTTTCTGAGTGCCTACTCTGTATAAATTGTAAGCACTGAAGACAGAAATTGAGTTGTGATTAACTTTGCCAATGAAGTAGATCATTCTCATTTGGCATTCTGAAACAGTTCATAATCTGGCTTCTACCACAAACCACCACTTAACTAAATTGTCTCGATTCTGCATTGAAAATTGAGCATTTCTATTACTGTACAAAGAAAAAGCTGTAGATAGAAACAGATATTTATATATGATCATTCAAAACCACCTAAAGGGACAGAAAACAGATTAACAATGTGGATTAATTATTTGATAAATCCTTAAATGACAATAATTACATTTAATATGTATATTTTCCAGATCAAAAAGAGTTAATAAATGATAATTGACCTGAGATGAAGCAAAACGTCATTACAATGTGCATAAGGCTCATGAGACTTTAACATCCCTTATAATATATATATATAGAAGAATAGTTCAGAAATCTCAGCACAAAGCCATCTGTCTCCATACATATCAACACTCTTTTAAAATATAAACATGTAGCACCTTCCAAAAGTAATCACTACATCACAGTCAAATCTGTTATTTTTGCTATACAGTTAAGAAATGTGAATGTGTGATTATGAGATGAATACAAATGCTAAGTATTACTGTACACAATACAGTAAATGTTTATGTTGGAGTAATTCCATGCATTTATTTGATAATATTAGAACATAAACATACCTTGTATTCAACCCAGGGATTTTAAATGAACATAAGAATTGGAACACTTTTGCTTATAATTAAATAGATTTGAGAGTGAAAACACCAGTATTTGGTTTCATATCCCTTTGAGGCAATAACTGCAAAATATTTGCAATCCATAGATATCATTATACTCTTTGTATACTGTAATTATTACAGATGCTTTGCCCAGCCTTTTCTCTAGCCACATTTTGCTTTTGCCTGTTCTTTTGGTATTCTAAACTTCATCCTGTAAAACATTTTTTTCATGATGAACTTTTGGGTTGCACTGACTTTGTTTTGGATCATTGTCATGCTGCTTGATGAAGCTCTACCCAATATTTACAGAACCATATTTTTTTATATACAGTATATACCTGTAAGTACACAAAATGTTTCTTCAGAATTCATTCTAATGCTGCCAACATCAGCTATACAGAATGATAAAAAATACAAGAGAGCCAATTACAGATCATTACATTATTATTTTATTAATATGTAGTCCATTTCTTGACATGGATGCCAGATTTATCTTCATCTTCATTATTTTGGGGTGTCCAGCATCTGTGCTATGGTTCTAATTGAGTTTTATTTTTAATTTCATACTTTAACTGCCTGTTTTTTTTAACAAAGTTATTTTGTTTTTTATGGTCTTTTGACTACAGACTCCAAACACACTAGTCAAAGCCAGACCAATTGATAGGATTTTCACAGCAGTTTTATGAGTGTCTAATTGCCCAACAACTTATTGACCAACAAGAACCATTCATCAGGCGAATGGCCCAATAAATGTCCTTCTAAAACTGTCTAACAATCTAAATTTGTTTAAATGACCAAAGGATGGACTTGATTTGATAGTATTTCAACATTATATATCTAGGTGTTATACTCATAAGTTATTTTCTTTTCATGATATACAGCTATTACAGTTCATAGTGGACATCACGGTTTATACTTCACTGTAATATTAGTTTTGGAGGGCACTGTAAATATTCAATTAAAAATAGTTTCAGACTACAATATTTGAGCTCATAAATATTTAAATACAGGAAATATCAAAAACAAAGATCTAAACCATACATTATTTTATATTACTTTTCCCATCACTTGACAAGCATAGGTTTCTTGCACATCCAGAATTATAACTGGTAAGCATGTTATAACCAAATGAAGAATTTAATTCAGAAGCATGGATAAAAAACCATGCTAATAAAATCATAATGTTTATGTTGCCCTCTTTCTCTTTTATGTGATTGTTTATTGCCAAGCTGTACTTTAATTCAACGGACCTTTGGAGAACATCACATCCATTAAGAATGATGACTATAGATATTTGCCTTTCAAATGAAGGAAAAGCACAACACTTCACAGTGTAAGCTACTGGAGGTCTCAGCAAAGGGGATTGGACCCTATGCGGTGCTTGATACAAGATGTTAGAGAGAGAGATATTAACTGGAGAACGGAAGCCAGATTTATTTAGCCAAGCTGCGTAGCCAATATTCGTGGTCAAGAGGAAGTGTGGGTCTAGTAGCCGGGATTTCTCAAGTCAAAGTGTTTATCAGGCGAAGAAGGTTAATAAAGGGAGCTCTGTGAGGATTAACTCAATACTGAGCGAGGAGGAGCAGGTGAGGAGCCCTTAAGTAGTGAGTTGCCTGGAGGTGTGGTGCAGGACGAGGGACATTGGTTGGGTATTTAGGATGTGCATTGGCATTCTTGGGAAGTAGCAGGGGCTTGTGACTGATTAGTGGAGGCTGTGACACACATCACAGTACTTCATTGATGAATTTCTATAAATTTCAATTGTGTTGCTGTTTGCTGGTTATTGTCCTTACACCCGAAGAAGGATCCACAGCCGAAACGTTGTGTTTTCTTTCTTCTCTTTTCAGCATGGAATAAACGTATTACTTGTTCTCTTGCTTGATACTGCCAGAGCTCACCCAAGCATTACTTGACTGTCCTACCATAAGCCCATATATTAATCCAAGATTTGAATCTTTGTTGATAACCAGGATTAGCAATGTCAACATTAAACATGGCTTTGCAAGCATCCGCCTTCACTCAAAACATTTACAGTGTGCAGCTGCTATACACTAGCTGATATAGACAGTCACAACAATTGTTTTATTTTTATGTTCAGTTTTTTTTACATTTAACTTATTGTGTCCTAATCACCATTCAGTTTTAGTATTCAAATTTTGATTAATAATATTCACAATAATATGTGTACAAAAACTCTAAAATGATATGATGCTACATTAAAACATCTGCACAAAGACAGTGAGAAGGAGTATGTTCAATTCACTATGTGGACAGCAGTTATATGATAGAAAAGATAAGAAGTAAATGAAACATTCACAGGCAATAGGTCCACCAGATATTTCTCTATTAAAGACAGAAATTCTCTCAGCCTTATCATTTTAGAGGAATATTACACCTAACCAGGTCTCAAATATATGAGGTAATTTACTCACATAACTGAAAAAAAATGTAGCCAGCAAAGCAGACAGATAACAGCTGACTTTAATTTAGATCCTGTGAGAATTTTTATACCAACAAAGATCATCACAGTTCAACGCTGGGTGAGTCTTTGATAAAATGGGAACAGACAAACTGTTCTATTGTATGCCTAACACCACCTGCTTATGAATTGTGAGAGCCCACTAGTATAAAAAAAAATAACATCTTGTTCCCCTTAGGGATTACATTTCTAAGATTCCACTAAACAGTTCACTGACTGCAGATGTGTTAAGATCAATAATTTGGAATAAAAAAGGAAGTGATATGTTTTCCTGTACTTGGTATCTTGTATGCATCGGTGAAACAGACAGTATGGATCAGAGTTGCACACATTTCTCCATATGTGAGGGCATTTTAAAAGGCTTAGGAATATCACCATCTCACTGTAATAACAATTATGAGAGTTTCTAACGGTACATAACAATTACATACACTTAATCACATATCTTGTAGAGTAATAAAAATATTTAAGCAGAATCACTGTCTTTTCTAATCATAATGTGTGGGATTAATTAATTCTGAGGGAGACCCCCTCTGTTGGTGACAGAATCCAGCTAAGTGAGCTCCGTGAAGTTGGACCCCCTACAGACAGCACAAACGATGAAACCCACCTCTTTTGATACTGCTGCATTTGTGCCGGTTTGTGCCATTTCTGAGATATAGAAATCGGGATATAGAGATATAGATATCGTGCCCTGTTTTATTGGGTAATCATGTGACTGTCTACAAGGACGTTTACAGGTATCAACACACTCGGTACTTAAATTACTGGAGACAATCATGTGATTACCCGATAAAACAGGGCACTATATCTCGGAAACAAAAGCAGCACAAACGCTTCTTTCAACTACATAAACCAACACAAACGCAGTACTAATGAATAAGACTAGTCTGGTTTCCCTACGATGTTTTAGGGGGGCTGAGTATGTCATGACCCCAAAAAAACAAGGCGCTATATCTCAGGAACGAAAGCAGCACAAATGCTACTTTCAATGACATAAACCGGCACAAACGCAGTACTAATGAATAAGACTGGTCCGGTTTCCCTACGATGTTGTAGGGGGGGTGAGTGATGTCATGACCCAAAAAAACAAGGCCCTATATCTTGGAAATGAAAGCAGCACCAGTGGTACAT